ATCCATTACCCCTTGTCCTATCACTGTGCAGCAAAGTGCAGTTCATAACAAGATGAGGGCAAGCACGTGGTGCCCTTTGAACAGGAGCAGAGGAAGGATTCTTGTCTGTGTGTTCAGCCACTGACACAACGGAGAAGAGGCTTAAATACAGAGAAAATGATGCTTCAGCAGTCTCTGAATTGACTGTTGTGTTATCCGATCTGAGCCCAGGAGTTTTGGGTGGGGAGTGCAGAGGCAAGTGGGCAGACTGAACTTAGGCAAGAGAGAGGAAAAAGGGTCTTTGCTTCACATCCCTAAAGCACGACAGCCAGTGGATGCTCTAGGCTGTGCCAACCTCTCTACTGTCCCTCTTGTGCTCTTCCTCTGCAGGTCTATGGAATTTTCTATGCCACATCCTTCCTGGAGCTGTACAGGAGCCCTCACAACACCACCACCACCTCCCACAACATCACGGTGCTGGTGCAGCGGGACGAGCAGTACCTGTTCCTGGTAGGCTCCGTTTCTCCTTCCCACACCTGTCCCTTCCTAGCCAAGCAGGAAGGCACAGCATTAACCTGTGCCACCCTCCCAGGTGCGGGTGATGTCTCCCTACCAAGGGCCACCGTCTGACTCTGTGGTGGTGAAGATGATCCCTGACAATCGCCTGCCCCCGCGGCACCTCCACTCGGTGCACACCGGGAAAACCTTCGCGGTCATTAAGTGGGAATCGCCCTACGACTCACCCGACCAGGACATGGTAATAACTCCCAGAGCCTCCTCCTGCCCCTTGGCACACCACATCCTGTCTCAAAGGCAGATCCCTGCCCTGCTGCTGGTGGAGCAAGTCTGAGATCAGGTCTATCCTCCAGAAAAATTGTCATCATTGAGGCGCTGATGCCTCCAAGACCTTTTTTCCTCTCTACTGGCCAATAGCTCAGGTCTCTAACATTCACACTGTATTTCAAGACTCAGGTCTGGGATATCTGTTGCTGACCAAGTCTGAAAACAATCCTGGGCACATGCTAAAATGCCTTTCTGAGCTTTGGCTTTGCCCAGGAGGGTAAAGCTGTGCTGGGGACTGTGCCTCCAACCCCAGTGGTCCCAGCACAGTCCCAACAGAGCCCAGTTCTGTTTTCTGGTGCACAGTCAGGTCTCACTCCATTGAAGGCAAGTCATTTTCTCAGCAAGCTTTCCCTTCCTATTTTGGCCCAGAGACTTTAACAGCAAACACTGGAAGGTATAAATCTTCCCAGCAGAACTGGAAACTTTGACAGGGCAGGAGCTCGCACTGCATCCTTGAGAAAAATCACCTGAGGTTTTGCTCCTGCCTTCATCTGTCCCAGGAACTGCATTTTCTGCATCAGTAAATACTGATCTTGGGCAGGGATCCAGCCAGAGGCTTGGAATCTTACTTCCCAGGTTTTCTGTATAGAACAGACATGGTTTGAAGCAAATTTTGCCCCCCTGTCTAATGTCCTACCACTGTATGAGATTGCTGGTAAGTCTGCAGCAAAGTGAGATGTTTGCCTGTGTGTACCTTTCCTCCCCCTCCAGCTATATGCTGTTGCAGTCAAAGATTTAGTAAGAAAAACAGATAAGATCTACAAAGTGAAAACCAGGAACAGCACGGTGGAGTACACCATTAAGAAACTGGAACCAGGAGGGAAATACCATGTCATTGTTCAGCTGGGAAACATGAGCAAAGAATCCAGCATGAAGATCAACACAGGTAAAGGACACACCACCCAACCCACCCCTGTGCTGGCTGGAGGCTGCAGGTGCTGATCCCTAAAAAGCACTGAGTTGCAGAACTGACCCCACCAGTGTCACAATCTCACTTGCTGCCACTTTCTCTCATTTGCAGTTCCACTGTCTGCACCAGATGCCTTAAAAATCATAACAGAAAATGACCATATTCTGCTTTTCTGGAAGAGTTTGGCATTAAAGGAGAGTAATTTCAACGAGAGCAGGGTAAGTTGAGCTGTCTCTCCTGTCCTACAGAGAGTGTTTCAGACAAACCCAGAGCAGAGTCACTGCAAGGCTCTATTTAAAATCCACCTCAGTGTCCTTGATGAGTCCTCTGTGGAGCTCACTTCAATTCCTGTCACAACTCAGGCACTAGAGCTGATAGATCCAATCAGTCACCTTTTGGGAACATCATTATTCCCGAAGAAAAGGACAACTGTCCCACATGTGAAAGGGGTGGGAATAGGACACACTGCCCTGCCCTGTCAGGAAGGACATTGGTCTGAGAACTATCATGATTTAGACTTTTATAAAAAACCTGTGATGTGTTGTCCATCAGGGCATGGGCAGGTAGCAAAGTGATTTGGGGTTTGTGTCTCTGCAGGGTTATGAGATTCACATGTTTGACAGCTTGATGAACATCACAGCTTATCTGGGGAACACCACAGAAAACTTCTTCAAAGTTTCCAACCTGAAGATAGGTCACAACTATTCATTCACTGTCCAGGCCAGGTGTCTGTACAGTGGGCAGATGTGTGGTGAGCCAGCCACGCTGCTCTATGACGAGCTAGGAACTGGTGAGTCCCTGGAATTTTCCCCATTTTCCTTAACAAAGACTTAGGAATGCCTCTCAACCTCACCAGAGATGTGCTATCACTACAAACAGCACTTCTCTCCCTCCCTCACCTCAGGTGAAGACTCGTCTGCAGCAAAATCTGGCAGATCCACAGATGTTGCTGCTATCGTGGTGCCAGTGCTGTTCCTGCTGCTGGTGACCCTGGGGATTGGCTTTGTGGTGCTGTACATGAGGCACAGGAGGCTGCAGAACAGCTTCACAGCCTTTGCCAACAGCCACTACAGCTCCCGCCTGGGCTCAGCAATATTCTCTTCAGGAGATGATTTAGGTATGTAGCCCTTGGTGTCATGGGGTGGCAATTGGGGACAGTCTTAAGGACATGAAATCAGTGCAAGAATTGCTTCTTTGGGCCATGCTTTGGGCCACCCTGGGCATTCAAACCTCTATGGGTTTGA